ACGCTTATTTGCGATACTTCTTATTTGCAATACTTTCTACTCGCTCTATCATCGGCCGGTGTCAGTAAGCTGTCCGGGTAGTGTCCGCTACACATGCGTTTGGTCTGAATGTCCTACTAAGACCCCATGATTTTGACTAAAGCGACTAAATATCTTATGCTTGCTTTTGTTGTCCCTATCGTTATTTCTATCGCCGTCATTGTTGTCGTCGTTGTCGTCTATCATCGGATCCATCAAAATGATGAGCGCCCAAATATCAAACTCGTATGGGGCAGTGCCCGGCCAGCAAAACTTGTTACATAACTAATCTATCAGATACCCTTTGAAAAGTCGCATGCATCTATCCTTCAACGCCCGGTACCGTCTTCTGGCGGGTAAAATCAGTCGTCCTCTCCAGGTCGACAGCTGTCCTACAGCATCGCTATTTTTCCTGTCGTTTATTTGGCTCCTACATCCTTCGCTTAAGGTTGGCGTGTGATTTTCAAGCCTCTGCCTGTTGTTCACGTTGGCACTGACGCCAGCATCACCCTGCTCGGCTCCCTCAACTCGTCTGGTAGACTGACTTGACGTTGTGAGCGGGCTATCCAGCACTATTCCCGGTGGCTGTTCGTGTAATTCAAAATCGACATCAATACCATCTCTCGGCAGAGATATGCGGGATACTCCAGAAGAAAGATTTCTCAAACTGCGCACACTTGGCGTATTCCTTCCAAAAGTAAGCCCCATCGCTGGAGGAGAAAGAAGCCCGTTCGACGGCCCTGCAGGTTGGAGGACAGGCTGATCCATTGGTAAAAGGATGGCGTCGCTGAAAACCTGGTTGATGGTCTCCAGATCAAGATTTGTCTCACTGTCTCTCGACTTAGGACGTATCGAAGATGTTCCGATAGCAACCCTCCTGTAAGTTGTGCTCTTCTCCGTCCAACGCGGGGCAATAATCGCGCCTCTTGTAGATATTTGTAAGTCAGGCCTGGAATATCCAGCATGCTTGCCGCACTGGCGGAAAATGATATCAAGCTTTTGATATACCACACGCATATCGCATCGATTGTCGGGAACTACCACAAGCATATGATCTTCAACTAAGGCCAGAAGATCTCCGAGAGCTGGAGATGCATGCGGGTTGCCACGCAGACAGTTTATCCACTATGACATATCAGTACAAATGCGCAAATTACCTATCAATTAGCGAATACAATAGTCTCAACTCACTGTTTTGACCGAGGCTTTGACTTTTGCGGCATTCCTCGGAAACCGCCTTAGGTTGAAAAACTTGTCTTCGCGGTACGCAAGCCCATCATCATCACTTTGCCTTGCAGTACTGAAGCTCTCGTACACTTCACCGTCTCCCGTTTGAAAAGAACCCTCGGTGATAGCATCACCACCGAGTAGATGCCATGTGACGAACTCCAGATAGACGCAGCCCAGTGTCCAGATATCAAATTTAGGGCTTGCAAAGGTACTGTATAAACCATCTGCCTCAGGAGGACGATAGGTTGTGGTTTTGTCGACTCTTGAAGCTTTGGTTACGTCAGAGTCGGGAGAGTGAAATCGCATCAGCGTGAAGTCCGCAACGACAAGTCGACCGGGGGGATCTTCCGTGTCCGCAAAAAAGAGTAAGTTTTTGGATTTGATGTCCCCATGACGACCGCCGCAGTCATGGACCCTGCATAGTCCATCGGCGAGTCCTCTACATTGACGGATGAGCCAGATTAGATTCTCTGACGAAGACGGGTTGTTCTTGTTGTGCTTCCAAAACCCTTCCAGATCCCACTTTGCCCCTGGAAATATCATGAACATGTGTGATCCTATTTCGTAGGAAAAAAGTAGTCGGATGAGATTGCTGTGCGTGTCATTTGGCTGGCTGAACCGCAGCAATGCCTGTTTCTCGTTGAGAAAATGATCCTTTTGGCTTATATCGAAACGTTTAATGGCGTAAACTGAAGGGAGTTTCTGTTTAGGAAAATATCAGTCAACGTGAGCTCTTCAAATTCGAGGATTCCTTACCGAATTTGGTGCCCATCTTTGGTATTTCCCATGTATTTTGACCTTCAACACAAGCCCATTTGCGCCTCCTTTCGCTTGTGACCAATCCAGAACCTCTTCAAACGGCATGGGAAATCTCTCATCGTATACACGGTGTTTTGTGGTGGTAAAGTCCAGGACAGGCGCAAGTACCGAGTACTGTCGGTGGCAGAAACTTTCGATGTGTCCATCTAGCCAACCGCTGAAAACCATTGGATGACTGGCTGGATCCAAGGGCAACTTGTCATCCCAAATGTCATTGTAGACGAAATCGATAATGTAAGCAGGTTCCTCAATGAGTACAAGAGTGGCGAGTATCTTGAGGCGCTTCAAGTTATGATTTGCTCCCCATATTTGTTGCTCAGGATCGGACAGCTCTTGTTCAAGCTTGGCGTTTATACAACCCTTCTTCATTATCTCTCTCACAGTGTCGACTGTCAATACAGTGTCCAAGTCGCATTCTGGTAGGAATCTTTGGCGGTGAAGGGCATAGGGATTAGCGGTTTTTGGTAGTAGTCTTGCTCTTAACTTTATTCCCGCCGGGCTGCGGGGGCTGCGCGGTCTGACTGAGCTTTCATTTGATCCCCTGGTCGGCCAACTTGTATGTGCGCTGGTGTGCCGTGGGGTTGGTTGAGGATCCATATGTGTCGGTACTGCTGTTTGGACCTGCTGCAAACAGTTGTTCACGTTGTTGGGGTACTATCTGAGGACGGGAACAGGGAGACTACGATGTGACGTTCCCGTACTAACATAGACAATGCATCAACTTTAACGCAAGATAGGTAAAAGGGGGAATCAAGATAGTCCTGCGGCAAGAGGCTCACAAAGGTCTGTAGCAAGGCTGCCGGTCTACGAAGATGCCGACACGCTTTTAAAGGCACGAGCCTGGCCAAGAGCAACAGGCCATCTCAGCCGTATTCATGACCTGCAGAAGAAGCTGTTCTTTGAAAGATGCAGGCCGACTTTCCAATCTTGCGGAGGCCCGGAGTCCATAGGCGCGTGATAAGACCCAGCCACACAAGGCTACGGTGATGGTTTCCATCGGCGGTACCCTTTCTCCAACACAAATTTGGCAGCGGTGCTTCTGCAATATTTTCTCGATTCAACGAAAAGCACTCTGCAGCGTTGATGACAAGAAACGGGTTGCCTCATGTGCAAAGTCCTTTTGTGGTAGACGCCTGCGCTGGGTGGCAGTACGCTCCGCAGATACAACGAAAGCGATATTACTGGCTAGGTTTTCTCTTGGCACATACACCCTATCATGACATGATGGACATGGTCGTGCGATGGGGTGACCATCTTCAGATTTTCCATTTGTCAGCCTTGTGTTAATTGTCTTAGAACTTCTGGATTGGAGGTGTCAATCTGTGATCAAACGGGCAGGCTGTGGGACGTACAGTCCTTGATGTGCAGTCTTTGAATGCAACCCCCACGAAGATATTGCCTGGTCGAGGCAACGCATTTCTGACGTGGAGGGTGTCACAGCCTGATTGCGTTTGAATGGATGTATGTGTCTTGAGAATGGGGCCTGGAGACCTACATATAGGTAGGGATAGGCGGCTGGAGGGATGGCAGATGACGCTTATCACGAAGGTGTGGGTGGCGAAGTGCATCGCAATGCTGCAGGGTGAGATGGCGGCGGAGTTCAGGCAAACAGCCTCCTCCAATGAGCTCCGCTATCCTGCGACATAATGGCACGTTCTCAGGAGGCAGACTTGGGCACCCCGCTGCTCCCCTCGCGGGATCAATATAAGGCACATTCTGTCAAGTTTTGCTTTCTGTCCTGTTCTCAACCAAATTTGCACTCGCACAGGACTGCCCTCTGCTGTTATCTTTCTGCTTTTCAAACCAACATCATTGAGATGGTCACTTCATGTACCATCGAGCGTCGCATTCAGTCGAGTTCCATTAAGAAGCCTCAACATCTCGTCGCAAATCTTCAAACATTTTGCAAAAGTAAAGGTTTTCAGATGGAAAGCTTGGAACTGCGGAATGATGTCTACATAATATCTATGAAACCGCTACCACTGAAACAAGCCGTGGCCACGGTCGTTTGCTAGCGCAAGTGAGAGGCGAGCGTCAAGTTCCAAATTTGCCCAGCCACTGACCTCGTTTTCAGCTTTATCGGCTCTCATACTGGAAGCTTTCGGTGGTGCCCTTATTTTTGTTGGGCTGTTCCTTCGGTAATGGTTAGAAAATGTGACGGCTCTAATTGAACATCGATAGAGCTTTGGTGCTCCATGACACCCTAAAGTGGGCTGGCTGGTATACGAAAAAGCTTTGCTTTTGAAGCCTTTAATTTATAAATTTCGACTCATGACTTACCATTACGCCTGATTACCTTTGGAGAAATGGTGGTGAGACATGGTGGTGTGGATTGTGAATGTGTAATAGTGAAGAGTCGTTGGACTTGTTGGTCTTTGCCGCCAGTCATGTCGCCTCAGGCTCTTCCACCAGCCTCAGAGGGAATGGAAAACCAGCCATGCCTATCCCATTTCATTCGCATATCTACCTATGAAACACACGTGCTATATGTCATGACCATGAAATATGTATTGAATGAAGATACCTATGCTTGCACAAGAGGCGCCCACCTGGCGAGATCGATGTTGAGAATTCCCTTTTCTCGGTCCCATCTTTTCTCCATGCCCACACACTCTGCATGTGTGCTTACGTGCATACAGGCTCAGCTGAGCGCCGAGAGAACCGCCGATGACTAGGTCGTCTGTAGTCGTTGCCTCATATCCACCTCCCTCGCCTTGTCAATTGGAATTGCGACGGACCGGCCCACCCACCTTCTGTGCACGCCGCATCGTTCGCTTCCCATCCTTCGGTAAACCGCTTGTGACTGCAAGCTTAAATAGACATATGGCGCCAATCGTCGATATCAAATGATGACAGCTCATCGTGGATATCTCCTAGCTCTGTCTGAGCAAGTTTGAAAGTTCTATCATCAATGTCATTGGTACCACATCGCAATGACAAACCAAAATGCACCCAATCCGGTCTCCTATCGTTCCATTACACGGGAGCTGAAAAACCCACCAAAATTTGGCAAACCCCCAAAGGACCACTGCGATCCTTTCTTGCCCGAAAGCAGGGTGCATACACTGGTTCAAAGAGACCGTGTTGAGTCAACATTGAGGGCTAAAATACCCACCCTCACCCACAGCGACCTTAAGAAGTTGACCAATTATGTCATGGACAAAGCAAGTAAGGTATTCTTGACACTTGTCCGCTCAGAAGCCGTCCCGGGACACTTGGAACTCTTCCAATCGCATGGCTTCACTGACGCGGACCTACCGATTGGATTGAACGGCGACAACGGTGACGGAATATGCAGTGTAGGGTTAGACGGCAAGCCGAAAGATCCGAATGGACAATCTCTGGACCTTTTCGATAACTGGTCCGACGCGACTATAGAGACTTTCTTCCAACGCCAATGGATTTTCTTAGCCCCGACTTTTCGAAAGGCTCAATTCGAGTACAAATTCGATCATCACTGTTCACTGCCATTCGTTGATCTGCAAGACGAATATCCACATAAAGGCGCATTTGGCGCAGTTCGCAGACTCGGCTTGCAAATCGAATACACGGACTTTCTGACTTTCGACAAGGTACCTTGAATGTGGATCTTCTTGGCGGATAGCGCATGAACTTACCGTTTCTACAGACAGACAAAAGTGCAAAGCCATATGTTGAAGTCGCTGTGAAGGTTCTAACTTCTACGCCTGCCGTAGACGTGAAGAAGTTCTACCGAAAAGAAATGGAAACACTCAAGGTGATGAGGAGACTGAAAGACGATCATCTGATTCGAGCCATTGCCGTGTACAAGAAAGGCAAGCAGAAATGCTTCGTCTTTCCCTGGGCTCATGGAGGCAGCCTCCAGGACCTTTGGAAGAGAGATCGAACCAAACTCAGTAAGGAGCTGGTTACGTGGGCTATTGCGCAAATGTACGGAATTTCGAGTGCTATTGAAAAGCTTCACGGATCAGGCGAAGAAGGTATTCGCCATGGAGACATCAAGCCCCTAAACATCCTTCACTTCCCTAAATCTCGAGACGGATCCTCCTGGGGAACTCTGGTGGTCGCTGACGTTGGGCTTGCAAAACTCCACAAAGACTACACCGACCTTCGGGAAGGGACAACCACCAAACATGGAACCACCATGTACGAACCGCCTGAAATGGAGAATTTCGCCGTTAAGACTACAACAATTTCCCGCAGGTACGACGTATGGAGTTTGGGTTGCGTTTTCCTCGAGTTCACTACCTGGCTGCTCTATGGGAAGGCTGGACTTGATCAATTCTACGGAAACCTCACAGCTTCGAAGACATATAGGTTCTGGATAGGAAGTCCAAGAGGCCCAATACTTCATCCCGTCGTGGGATCGCTGATAAAACGGATCAAGAACGATGTCAAGCAGAACACCGCTCTTTGGAGATTGGCGGAGCTCGTATCCTCGTGGCTTCTTGTCGGGATCGATGAAGATCGCCGCATGGCTGGGCAGCCTACCAAGTACACAGGACGTGCAACTGCCCTTGAGCTTGTCGAAGAGCTTAGAGGTATTCGTAACATAGGCTCGAAAAATGGTTCGTACTACTTCGATTCTGATATGAAAACGATAGCCGAGCAACGACCAGACCCTAACTTGAACATTGCAACCGACCAGGGGGTCGCGCTGCGTTCTGAACAAGTGAGTCATATGGAACATACCCAGACGAATCTGAGATTTTCTGACTGAATCGGGCTAGTACGTGAGTAAAGATCGGTTGAGGAAGTTTTGGTGCTTTTGAAGTTACTGACGACGACAATGTGCACTCAGAATGTAAGTCAATCTCGACCAATGGATGAGAAGTAGCCTGACTGGATGTAGCCGGTGAGTCTACATAGTTCTTCAATCTCTGCCATTGAATCCAAAGCTTACATTCAAAGCGCACAACAAAACTTGATGACATGTGGCGAAACATACCAGACAACAGCTGGGGACGTATCTTGACTCAACGTCTTGACTGGGGCCCGCTGAGGCCAGCAGTTGAATCTTCAAGACTTTGCAGTCCTTGCAGAAACACCAATTTCCTAAATTTTCGCCTGGAGTTGGATCGGAGTCTTGGTGATTTGAGTCGCGCATCTGATGAATGCCCTATGTGCTGTTTCCTTTTCCACTGTATTTCGAAACGGTCACTGAATTGGGATGAAATGGTGAAGCTATCCTCGAGCAATGATGAACACACATTTTTATCATCTATCAACGGTGCACCAGCTATATCACTCTACTTTGATCCCGGTATGTGGCTAAGTGTTGGCGTTGGGCCAGTGGCTAATGCTGCACAGAGTCTCACGGCCAAATCCCAGCCCGCGCGCAACTGGGACTGCCTCTACTTCCAGAACCTGGCAGTCCACAGCAGTTCAACCTTCTCAAGCAATGGGTTGAGCTTTGCAACACACGGCATCAGTGTTTGCAGACTAAGGAGAGACCATCGGGGCAAATGCCGACAAGGCTGCTTTACGTGGGAACTGGTTGTGACCCCTCTCTGCGCCTCATCGAGACAAACGATGGCAAAGTGAACGGCCATTATGTGGCTCTAAGCCACTGCTGGGGAGTTCTAAACAAGGAACAGAGGGTCTGCACGTATGCCGACAACATCGAGATGTTCAAGAAAACAATCCCTTCCCAAACTTTGCCGCACACTTTTCGGGATGCAGTCACAGTCACGCGCGCACTAGGAGTTTCATATCTCTGGATCGACTCCCTTTGTATCATACAGGAGGATGATGAAGACTGGAGATCCGAGGCGGCTAGAATGGAGGATGTTTTCAGTTCAGCGTACTGCACTATCGCGGCTAGCTCCTCTACATCATCCCTAGATGGGTTCATCGCCAAACGGGCCCAAAGGGCAGCAGTAGGCATCCGGACTTCTCAAGGCACCCTCTACTTGGCTGAGGCAATCGATGACTTCGAGACACACGTCGAGAAGGGTGTTCTGAACACCCGTGGCTGGGTACTCCAGGAACGAGCTCTGTCAAGACGAACCGTACACTTTACTTCCACCCAAATGTACTGGGAATGTGGAGAGGGTGTTCATTGTGAGACGCTCGCGGAGCTTGGAAAGTGAGTTACCCTTGGAGAAGGTCGAGTGCGCAAACAACCTACTAACCAGTAAGCCGACAATCGATGTTCCTCGGGGACTCGAACTTCCCAACGTACGGGCTCGAGTATTACAGAGACGAGCGCATCCGACTCGTACAGTATCTCTATCAAGTCTACAGTGGACTTAGCCTCACGAAGTCTCATGACCGCTCAAAGGCGATTCTCGGACTGCAAAAACGCCTAGGCTCCACGTTTAAATCTAAAGCCATGTATGGTGTCATCTCAAAGTATTTTGAGAGAACTTTCCTTTGGCAAGCGGACGTCCCAGGTTCTCTATCACAGATACACTATGAATCAAGCCAGACAGTTCCTTCATGGTCGTGGATGGCAGTCATGGGAAGAATTCGATACATGGACATTCCGTTCGGCGAAGTAACATGGACGGGCGATCTTGAAAACCCATTCAAGCCAGGCTTTGATGATACTGAGTGGAATGGGCGACTGGTTGCTAAGGCAAAGAGGCTTGCAATCGACGATGGTGAATTTGCAGAGAGATGCAAGGTCGATCTGAGTCTTTACAAATTCGAGCCAAGAAGCTGGAAGTGCGTGGTTGTAGGGGAGAGCAAGGTCGCCAACGAGGACGGCGACAAGAACCAATACGTTTTGCTGATACGCAAGAGATCATCTGTCGTGGCAACCACTGTCTACGAGCGAGTCGGGGTGGGGATTCTTTTGCAGACACAAATTGGTTTGAGGTCTATCAAAGTTCATCTTGTATGACATGTTGAGTTGAGAATTTATCAGAATGGAAATACATTGCAAGACCAAGATGATAGGCCTATTTAGCTTTGGTTTCAGATTTCGATCAGCGTAGAAACTCTTCTCCTTGTTATCCTCATTGTTGTCACTGTGCCCATGGTGGTCGTCGTCTGTGCTCACCGCCAAACCGGACACCTAGAGATAGTTTTCAACGAGTACTAGACCGAGTAAAGGTATCTCTCTGTCCGAGTAATTAATGCATCCGCCTGGATAACAAAAGTCCCTTGGCTTTGGGACATGAATAAGACCACTTATGCGAATAGAAGTGAAGCAAACCTTCTCTTGCCACTCGGTGGCTCATGCAGGATGACCAGTAATTCGCAGCGATATGGAAAACCAAGTGAATAATCAAGCCCGGGTTTTGCAATCAGCGGCGAGAAGTTTCGCGCTTTGGCCTATGTACTCAATAAGATACCTCCAGAGTATACGTTCAAATTTTGTACATTGTGTCTAACAATATATACATCTAACCACACCAATTACCCCAACTCTAAACGCTCCGCCTCAAACAGTCGAGCTGTTAATCGCCTTCCAAATCTCATCGCTCAGCGTCTTGTTCGCGTTGAAGTACGACGCCAGCTGCGTCTCCTTCTGCAGCACAAGGTCCGCCACGAGCCGCCCGAAGACGACGCTGCCCTCGGCGTTCAGGTGCGTGTTGTCGTCCGCCTTGAGGTTGTACGAGTGCGCCTTGTCCTCGCCGATCGCCTGCACGAACTTGCGGCTGTTGAGGTTGAGGTCGATGTACGTCGTCTTGGTCTCGGTGGCCGCCGCGATGGTGCGCTCGCGCTCGTTGGCGAGGTTGTTCGTCACGACGCCGTTGGAGAAGCTGCGGCGCGTGAGGGGGGTGACGAGGATGGGCGTCGCGCCGAGGGCCTTGATCTCCTTGGCCAGATTGCCGAGGTTCGTCTGGTACTGGTCGAGGGAGATGTTCTTTTCGGGCTTTTGGTCGTTGTGGCCGAACTAAGGGGCGGTCTTCATCAACATGTTGTTTTCTCACGCGATATATTCTGCTGAGTACAAGCAGACAGAAGAGGACTGGCTTACCTGAATGGTCACGTAGACGTCAAAGTCCTTCACGCTGTCGGTGACGGCCTTCTTGACAGTCGCCCAGTAGCCTCCGCTGACGTAGTCCACCGTCGTACGGCCGTTGACGCCGTAGTTGGTTCCCTTGGCCGGGCTCTTGAGGAAGCCGAGGAATCCGTTGCCCCAGCCGCCGCCACCCTCAGACTGCTTCGCCGTCGTCGAGTCACCGGCGAGGTAGAAGGCAGGAGGCTTCGCAGCCCGCTTCTCGGCTGGGGGCGCAGCCATGGCCATGGCCGGCAACAGGGCGGAAAGGATGGTTTGGGCCTTCATGTTGTAATAGTCTACACGGGGAGTTGTCCGGGCTGAGAGTCGAATAGCTTCAAGGTACACAAAACAGCACACACAGATACGAGGAACGAGGAGCAGCCATCTCGGCCTCTTATACGAATCCGGTTTCAAGACTCAAGGAAAGAGACACTCGTAGCTTTCCCCCAGAGCTGCATGACCCTTACAAACCTAACCCTCGTCAACAGCATTGCCAAGCCATGCGACCAACCAGATGTTCGGACGCTCCTTTCTGCTTCTGGTTCGTTTGATCCGATGTGCGGTTGAGCCAGGGTTGCCATTGTAAACAAAATGGTGCAATGCAAGCTGTGGCCAGCTGGTCTCGACACATACATAGTACAGCGGCGTGAAATTCAGCGAAGCAAAAAGTTAGACCCCTGACGCGCCGGGGATGATGCTGGGAATCACGGAGGTGTGCGGGGGACCCAGGCTTGCCAGGACGGGCATTCGCAGGCTGCAGCTGCACTTTTTAGAGTTTCTCCGTCAATGGGAATGGAGAGCTTGTAATGTGGCCCATGACAAGCTGTGTACTTGGCACATCTCCAATTGGAGCTAAGCTTTCGAGGGGGTTCAGTGAGGGGCCCCGACATGGGATGGGCGAAATGCGACGCTTTGTTCCGACGGAAAAAGCTGGGGGACCATTCTGATTTCGGATCTGCGCTAGCTACGTAAACTTGCAGGATGCAGGACGCTGCAGCGGCAGTCTTCTCCCGCTTGGGAAAGGAAGCGCTGCATGCCGGACGAACGGACGGCAGTTTGTAGCTTCTCGCGCGCGAATCTGAGAAGTGAGCGAGAGAGATCGCGGGGAAATCCTTCCAGTGCGTATAGATTGAACGTAGATTGGGAACGCGAGCAGGGGCAAGTACACGAGGAGTGGAGTTCGTTCGGCCCTTGGAACATATTTCACCGTCGCAGTTCGTCTGATTCGGGCGCGAGGTTGGACTAGAACTGGATCGTAGAACTGAGAGTCGCCCGAGGGGCATCCTAAAAGAAGCAAAGTGAAGGGGGAGCTCCGGAGCTGGGATGCCTTGGTCGGTGAGCCGGCCACGATCACGCCGTAGCCCGTGGGATGGCCGTGATTGAAGTTTGACAGTCGTGACTCGTGGAAATTGTGGGACGACACAATATGTTTTGCAGATTGCCTCATTATCATCATACAGCTCTATACCGCAAACGGGTACGATGTTGTGTTTTGAAGGGGGTATTCTAGTAGGAAACTTCGAAATGGGCGTGCTGTTGCACCGAAGATGCCGTCCTTCCCGGGTGTCCCGAATTGCATACTCATACTCTTACAACAATGCCCTCTCGTCTCGTCGTCCCAAGTTCCAGATGAGGGCATGAATGTCCCTTAATATTCGTGTTACATCATGTATCCATGAAAATTCCGTCCATACCAAAGAACTCAAGCTTATTGCTTGGAAACTTTTGTTGCCAGTAGAAAGCCACTCTAGTTTTTTTCTTCCGTCCAATCCGTCCAACGCCCACACAACTCATAAACACATACAATCGATTTTAGGTCATCGGTTTCGGTTACTGGACCACCGCTTGACCATGACTTCGCGGATCTTGTACAACTTGAAGACCTCCGCCGGGCCGCCCTTCTGGAGGGCCTCGTCGAACTGAGGTGGAGGTGGGATGTCGACATAGACAAGCACCAGACTCTTCTGCACGTGAGACAGTACACGGACGACGCCGTGGAGCCAGTGCCAGGTCTTGCGAGGAAGCTCGCGATCGCTATCCTTCCACCACTGATCTGAGTACGAGGGCAGGATGATGGCGCCGAACTCGGCGTGATCGAAGACAGGGCCCTTGGCATACAGCATCCAGTCGACGCCGAACTTGATACCGGCGCGGGGCACCCAGCCAAGAGAGCGGAAGTGGTGGTAGACTGCGTAGTTGACGAGGAAACTGTCGTCGGGGTGCAGATCGGTGCTCGCGCGAGAGGGGAAGTAGGAGTACTGGCGGAAGAGGTTTAGGAGCTCGGGGGTAGGGATGGGTTGCTTATTGATTGGGTTGACGACGCGAAGAGCGCCGAGACCGAAGGTGAGGAAGAACGCTTCCTCCGAGGTGAGTTGAAGGTGTTCCTTGTTGACGATCTCAGTTGGTGTAGCCTCCGCCTGTGTAGCATGTGTGCCATTTGTCTGCGGCTCTTGATCCGACTCCACGACACTAGGCCCCAGAGATCCCCCATTGAGGGATGGTATCGACTTGCCATTCAGCAAAGCAAAGCTAGGGCTAGGAGGGTCGGACGACAGGTAGGTGGCCGACTCAACCTTGGGAGAGAATCGCACGCTCTTCCGGCGTTTCATAGGTTTGGTAGGGGTTGAAGGAATATCCGTTGACGTTGTGCTCAGTGCCTTGGTACTCTCGGTGTCGGTGCCGTTGATAATTCTGTCGTGATCCAGCAGATCGTTGATCAGATGACCAGTGGACGGCTTGGTAGACCCATCATGCTTGACATCTTCGGGTATCGTCGACAGCTTTGGCGCGATAACCTTGGCCTTGCTGATGCCGTTCGTTGTGTCGTTCGACTCGTGAATGACAGCGACGTGTGCATTCGGGAGTGACAACAGCTCCAGTGGACCGACAGGCGCTGCGAAGATCGAGACAGGTGACGAGTGGCCGTTGACCGAGAAGCCGGATCCGTTCACATCGTTCAGGGTGACAGACTCTGAGTCGCTATTCACCAGAGTCGACTCCGGACTGTGAATACCGTTCGTCGAGGCGTGGACGTAATCAGCTGCGGCGAACGACGCGTGCGAATTAGGCAGACGGAGGAGTTCGAGAGGGCCGGTAGGAGAGGATGAGGCAGTAAGAAGAGGAGACAAGGGTTCGCCGAGGGCCTTGGCAATCTCGGTTGCTCGAAGAGCATCCTCAGGCTCGATGATCGTGGCCGATCCAAGGTTGGCCGTCAAGGGCTCAATGGGCGAAGAGGCACCGTTGACTATTCCTGTTTCGACGGCAGACAGAGAGTCGAGAGACGCAGAAGGCACAACACCAGGCTTAAGCTTGGTAGGCGTATTTATGGACGCATCCTTGGTCACATCTTGGGAGAGGGATTCTGGTTCGGTGGCCGGGTCGGCAGGGACAATTGGTTCAGGTAACGAGATCGCATCAGTCAAGGCGGGTTCATGGCCGTTGACGGAACTAACAGTGGCATCGGTGGTCTTTGACGTGGCTTCCTGCGCTTCCTGGAGACGCGTTTGACGGATAGCTTCTTGCTCGGACTTGGCGCGCTCCCACTTCATCTGCCTGCGCTCTTCGCGACGATTGGCCGTCACGAGCTCGCTGACCTGACCAGGAACCAAGCCACGGCGGACCTGCTCGCGCTTCAGCCAGTTGGGCTCGCTTCGACTCAGGTTGCCCTTGCCATAGAATCCCTGCTCCCAGAGCGCGCGCATGGACTTCGCGTCGAAGACGTTGACGGACTTGGACTCGGGGGACCAGATGCCTTCGTACACCACGGACGGCTCAGCAGGCGGTGGAAAGAAAGTCTGTTTCGTCCATGCGTACAAAACGTGGAAAAGGGAGATTGGATTACTCGGATAGAAGCTAGGAAGCGGAAAGGTTCGTATGGGCGCGGGCAGCTCGTA